CCTACAAGGTCCCTTCCAACTGTGTTAATCTAATCTAATCTGTTCTCAGATGACTGAGGTTGGAAAATAGCTGTGTAACTCAGAAAGGGCATTTTTCTTGGAATGGAAATGGGGTATTTAAGGGAGGTTTAGATTAAGGGAAACCATGTTGTTTCCAACTGCACCACCACTTTGGTACAAATAGTCTTGTGTTAAGGTAAGAAAGGTCTTATTCTATCATTATTCTACTGGAAAAAAAGCAGAAGGCAATTGGTGATGACTTCAAAACACACATTCCATGGCTAATGGCCACGAAACCTAAAATGCAGATTCCGAACTGCTGCAAGAAAAAATCTTAACAAAGGAAATTCCTGCCATCTCCAATACATTCACACAACCTCATTTGCCATAACATTATCTGAAAAGCTTAGGAGAGACCCCCTGGGTCAGTAATCTTCTGATAGGAAACAAACACACTTGAGAAATAAACCCCAGTTCATTTTATGTTTCAAGATTGATGGGGAAAATAACCAAACATTGTAGGGGGGTGAGTCACTCATTTGGTACCCTTCAAGGCAACTCAGTCTGTTTATTTACCAGTCATTCTCAGACCTTAAAAGACCTTTCCCAAAATGATTTGCCATTTGAAAGGCTGAAATTATTACTATTGAGAATATACAGGCAGCAAGCACATTGTCTAAAATCACCTTAAAGCATTTGGAACAGCATTCAAAGAGAAGTAATCACCAAACCAGGGAAGGAGCCACCCAAAAACATTACCAGAAAAAAAAAAGTTATCTTAAGCTAGTTTAAAGCCTGTTTGTTAAAAATAACAAGCATTACCAGGGAACAATTAAGAAGCTGCTTAGTATGCATGTCTATGGCAAACAAAGATGTATGAAATTAATTCCAAAAAAAGCCTGAGTCATAAAAACACTTTGTAAAAATCTGCTCTTTAAAAAAAATCCCAAATGAATCTGTAGGGCATGCTACAATCTAAGCAGTTTCCAATATAGTAGATATCCTTTTAGCTCTATACCATTTGTCTTCTCTTCTTTTTTCTTTCTTTTTTTTTCAAAATGGGAAGGGGGAATCTATTTTGCAAATTACATACAGGCACCCTTAAAGCTTTTATTTACTGCAGGCTTTTGAAATTATCATTCTCTCTCCATATGTATATATGTATGAATATGTATATATGTATTTATCTCTTGAAAACTTGCATATATACATGAATTTTCATGGGTATGGTCAAATAAATTATAGATTTTGTGATGTAGGATTTGCATTTCCTTTGTATGTTTATTATAAAGAAGGTAAGTAAAGGCAAAGTAATTTTTTTTATTGGGGAATGGTATTCATGAATAGCAATGGTATTTTTCTCGTTTCAGAAAGAGATTTCAGGATGATAGCTTGGACCTGAAAAAGCAGATATATTATTAGATTCAGTGCTACTTACAAAAAATTTTTTTAAAAAAATTAAATTTTTACAGAAATGACCGTGTTCCTTTCTTTGAATTTCAAAAGTATTGGCTCTTTTTCTTACTCATGAAAACAGGATGTAATGGTTGAATTCTAGATTAATTATCTCAAAAAAACATTATGATCAGCATAAAGTTATTACACTGTGAGGTGTCATGATCTAGAATCCACAACTAATGTTTAAAGGATTAAAAAAGGTAATCTTTAGATGCCACAAGATTTTTTCCCCTCGTTTTGATATAACAGTTCACATTACAGAGGATTGCAATAAAAGTGGTTCATGTTGTCTCAAAATGCCAATACAATTACATTGCTCTTCCACTAGACTGGATTTATACATTGTATAAAGGCAGGATTATTAATAATCCTTGTTTGAAACATTAGTTGGAGAAAATGCAGAATTGTTTAGATTGAATCTCTAGAAGTCTCATGAAAGCCTAATACTGGCTGTTATAGAAAACAAGGTTCCTAGACAAAATAAAACTGCCCAATAGCAATTTCCCTCTTGTTTCTTATGGAATTTTTATAGCTTTCAATTGTATACAATTTTTTTTCCTTTAAAATCTAGACCATATAGGAATCATTCATTGCAATGTACAAAGATGACATTATAAAAAGCAGGAAAATAATTCTACTGACATTGGTAACATTGTCATAGTTCCTAAAAGTTAATATTAATGTCATAAAAAGTATAGAGTTCCCTATAATATATACATTTTATCACATTAGTATCAACCTTTAGGAGCTATATCAATGTTATCAAGGTCAGTAGAATTACTTTTCCTACTTTTAGGAAATTTTAAACACTAGCTATACCAGAGTTCTGGAGAGAATCTACGCAACTTGATGGCACTTAATCGATTATACTAGAATTGTTCATATTTTTGATCAATATCTACAGCATTGGCTAGTGAAAACAGAAGGACCAAAAGAAATATTTAAATAAAGAGGTAGGATATAGGACAGTGATGGCGAACCTTTTTTGCACCGAGTGCCCAAACTGGAACGCATGTGCGCATGCGTGCCAGAGCAATGAAAACCCAACGACCAGCTGGCTAGAACACTCGTGTGTGCCAGAAACTAGAATGGCAGCTGACAATGGCGCACGTGCCCACAGAGAGTGCTCTGCATGCCACCTCTGGCACCCGTGCTATAGGTTCGCCATCACGGATATAGGATGTACCAGTTCATTGCTTCAAATACTTCAATGCCTCTGTTTCTCAAAATATGGTGCTGGTAATGAAGATCATCCATATTATAATTACTTCTTGAATAAAATTCTTAAGTTACATAAATATTAATGGTTTAATAGAAGAAAGTTACTGGACAAGGATTTTTTCTATAAAAGAGAGTTGATATATTTATAATGTCAGTTCCATCTTTTACCTGACATTTCAGAATTAATATCCATGGCTAGATTTCACTTAAGAATAATTTAGAAACAATGCCTATTCATTCCCTTCTGTTGAATTTTCCTCTATTTTTCTCATTGTCCTGTTACTTGATATTAAATATAAATAACTAATAATTCAATTTCCATTTAAAAACTCTTATTATGTTCCAAATATCTTAAGTATTTTAGACAAACCAACCCCAAAATGTTCACAAGCATCAAATTCCAATGTCATGCTGGCAGAATGGAATTCTGGGAAGCTAACTTCCTCAACGATTTCTTCACCTGACAAGCTCCAAAAAGGTCCCAAAAGAGAGGAATGGTCTCTGGAATGGAGAATTAAGGACATTAGATATCCTAACATTAGATAGTGCCATCTGGCACATATGGGAGTTGTACTGAATAATTTAGAGTATCTCCCTTCCCTTTCCACAAGTCAGTCCTCTGTCTACCATGTTCAAGGGAACTCTGTCTTATTTACTAGGGGAAGTGAAAAACAAAACTATCTTCTTTGAAATATATTCTGCCAACAAAACATTAGCAAGATTCAGAGAAATATATATATACCTCAGTCTACTTGAGATCAGAAGAATTTATGTTCGCTATGACTGATTTGTCCTTTTCATTTCAGAGGATGGATATGTAAAGTTTATTCACTTGTGCCACTCTTGTAAATTAATACAATTTTTTAAAAAATATATAAATAATCATTTCCAACTAAGTTTACAGTGCCTGGAAAAATTAAGGAGTCTTCATCTGTCTCTGAAAAGAGGCTAAAGATCAGAGGTGGGTTTCAACAGGTTCTGACCAGTTCTGGAGAACCGGTAGCAGAAATTCTGAGTAGTTCGGAGAACCGGTAGTAAAAATTCTGACTGGCCCCTTCCCCCAACTATTCTCTGCCTCCCAATTCCCAGCTGATTGGGAGGAAATGGAGATTTTGCAGTATCCTTCCCCTGGAGTGAGGTGGGAATGGAGATTTTGCAGTACACTTTCCCTGGAGTGGGGTGGGAATGGAGATTTTACAGTACCTTTCCCCTGCCATGCCCACCAAGCCATGCCCACCAAGTCATGCCACACCCACCAAGCCACACCCACAGAACCGGTAGTAAAAAAAATTGAAACCTACCACTGCTACAGATGCTAATGCATATATGTTTTCAGGAGAGCATTTTATATAATTCAGAGGCCATCACCGGAGAGATTACCTGTAAGAATATGGATTATGGAGCAGGGTTTCAGTGACGTATATTTAATCAGATAACCTTGACTCACTTGTCAAAATACTCTACCTCTTTAGAAAATGACAACTACTATACATAAGCATTGAACTCTTGAGTAAAAAAACATTTTATTGCTTAGTCATTATTGCACAAGGTCCTATTGATAACACCACTCATGTTGCATGTTCCTAAGCCAGAAGTGATTTGAAACACGCGTGCATGTGTTCCTAGCACATTCACATCTGAGACATGTATGATGTGAATGTCGTTTCAGAGAAGCTGTACAATGACTTCCTGAGGACCTGTGCGCATGACCAATGAGTTACTTCACTGATATTTCTTGGTTTTCAACGTTCTTTATTTCTTAGTAGTTTTATCCTAGCTTGACTGCAGAGAGCTCTTCTGATGTCGTGTGGGGTTGTTGTTTTTTTCATTGTGATCGCTAATTTATGTTAAAAACTCACCCACTAGCTGAGTTTGAAGTGTAAATCTGGGGTGTTTCAGGGCCCCTAAATCCCCAATTTTCATACTTGATAATGTCTGAAGGTTCCTTGGGAAAGAGGAGCAGAAAACCTACAAACACAGTGAAGAAACTCCCAAATGTGATATATTTTATTCAAGGAACTCTTAAGAAAGAGCATGATCCACAAGGAATCAAGTGACTTATTGTAAACTGGACAGGTGCATGTCCATTGTTTTAGGGCAGATGTGGAAGATTATACCTCTGAGTCCTTGAGAAGCAGATGCTCTAGTTGCCTTATGATTGCAACATGCTAGCAATTGCACTACTGTTTGCTTTACAATAAAGCTAGATTTATCTAAGATGTTCACTCAGTTTACTGTTTACTCCCGAACATGAGATCTAATTTAATAACACTTCTGTTTGTTTTCTCTTTTTTTTTGTTTAATTTTGCTTTGTTTTCAAGGCCTTTGCTTGGTGGTCAGACTTAATGGTCGAGCACGCGGAGACCTTCCTCTCATTGTTTGCAGTAGACATGGATGCTGCGCTGGAAGTCCAGCCGCCAGACACCTGGGACAGCTTTCCACTGTTTCAGCTTCTAAATGACTCCCTTCGAAGTGACTGTATGTATTGTACTTTGGCCATTTAATTTATTCTCTGTGGAGATGAAAGTGTTGGGCTAATGTTAATTTTGACTGATTTCCAGTTCTTCCTCACTTAACCTTTTAGTTAAGTCACTTAAATTTATTTGTTCAACTTGTATGCCGCCTTTCTCTGAAGACTCAAGGCGGCTTACAATGCATTTAAAAACCATATATAAAAACATTAAAAATTAAAACATTAAAAACAATTAAAACCCATTCACACCATTCATGGCCAGATCTCGCCAGATCGCAACAGCGAGATCAACGGCCCCAGGTCTGCCGGAAAAGCCAGGTCTTCACCGCTTTTCGGAAGGCCAATAGGGTGGGGATGTTCCGGATCTCAGGAGGTAACTGGTTCCAGAGAGCTGGGGCAGCCACAGAGAAGGCCCTTCCCCACAGGCCTGCCTGCTGGCATTGTTTAGCTGACGGGACCCGGAGGAGACCAACTCTGTGGGATCTTACCGGTCGCTGGGAGCTATGCGGTAGAAGGCGGTCTCGAAGATAACCTGGCCCTTCACAAATTGTTGTGGTTTTCTGAATGGACTAGTACTGATGATGTTACTTTGTTTGGGCAATGAAATGTCTGCAAGAAAACAACCAAGCTCAGAGACCACAAACATTCCCATTTTGTGAATGTTTATGAAAGAAAACTGTTATTGTATATTCAGAAACACACACATACACAAAAGCACCCCACAACCAAACCTCAGAGCATACACATACTCCTGCAAAAAGAAGATATCCAGTCCTTGTTATTCAATTGATAAATAATCAATACCAACCAGCTTTCTAATTTCTCCTTAAATCAGCTGGTAGGTCATGTTCATTGCATTGCAAATCTATTTGGGGAGACTGCAGAAATGGATGTAGACTTGTGAAGAAAATCTACCTCCTTCCGTTACATCACAAAATCACATGAGCCAGGGGAACCAAAGAAGAGACTGTGCCAGCAGCTTCTGGTACTTACTTGTCTGTGTGCAAATGGGGAGGTTTGCATTAGGAACAAGGTTTTTTGTTTTTGTTTTTTAGCATTATACACATTAAAAAAAGTTTTTGTCTTTAAAAGCTTAATCGAAAGGTAGGCGAGAACCATAATATCTTGGGAAACACACAGATTAGAGAGACATATTTTTCCCCACCGAGACCTCTACGTAAAAAGATTTAAGCTTAAGTGAAGCAAAGCTTTCTTTCTTGTTTAAGAAGAGATTTCAAACACACATAGAAAGATGGAATAAAAAAATATTTTAAAAACCCTAATGTCTGAAATATCCTAAACAATAAAAATAAATTAAAAACTATGAAAAAGTCATAGGTATCTAAAAATAATATAAAAGAATAATAAAAGCAGCACTGTTGTCACTTTTGGAAGTTTTATGAGAACCAAAAAAAAAAAAGTAAAACTTTTCTGAAAGTGCAATCAATATAACTTTTGTCCCAAACCAAATGACATGGATTTCTTCATAAAGGTCCCCTTAAGTGCTCTTGATGTGTTGGATTCATACAATCACTTTAGTTTTCCTTATTTACCACCATCTCCTTACAGAAATATATTATAGCGCACCTTTGAAGGCAATGTTTTCACTGCAGACATGAAGTATTGCTTGACAACTTAATGTGAAGAGCAGATTTTATTGAAAAAATGGCTCAGAAAATTCTTTTTCATGTGTATATAGGAATAGCAATAGCACTTAGACTTATACCACTTCACAGTGCTTTACAGCCCTCTCTAAGCGGTTTACAGAGTCAGCATATTGCCCCCAACAATCTGGGTCCACATTTTACCAACCTCAGAAGGATGGAAGGCTTAAGTCAACCTTGAGCCTGGTGAGATTTGAACTGCCAAATTGCAGTCAGCCGGCAGTCAGCAGAAGTAGCCTGCAGTACTGCACTCTAACCACTGCGCCACCACGGCTCATATCACTGAGTTGGATTATTAATTTTATTTATTATGGCTTCTTTCATTTTTCTCATGGTTTTGGAAGCAAAGGGTATTGAACACAGTGTGACAAATAGATTTCTGAGAAAATTGAGGCATTCACCTCACACAAATGTCAGTCTGACTAAAAACACTTGGTTGATTTCCTAAGCCCATCTCTCAGGAGTCTGGGTGGCAGTAATAATTTAAACTAGTTTAAATCTTCAGTAATAGATCCAATTGCTAGAAATTAAGTCCTATTGAATATCCTGGGATTTACTTCCAAATAAGCTTGCATAAGACTATCCTGCAGGTATCCAAGCATTCCTATTCAGACAGATTCAGAAAGAATCTTTCTGAAAAATTGGGGATTTCTTATTTAGTTTTCTGTATTGATGTAAAAGTTTCATTTTTAAAAAAAATTAAAGTTTCCAAGAGGTCTTAGAATTCTAAATGAAACCAGTTTATATTTGTAATGGATGAGCCTCTTGGACCTAAATACATTCATTTATGTTAACATTTATTGTTAACGTGAAATGTTAAAATGTTTAAAATGTCTATTAATATTTTGGATGGAATGGTCAAACTTTTACTCAAGTGATTCTTAGGTATCACTCAAAAACAATCAGTGCTATGGTCATATTTATGTTAAAATGTTTCTAGAATAAAGAAATTGACAGCAGATTCATTTATTGATTGGGCCTTCGATTTGGTTACTTTAAAAATTACACCATGTAATTGTGGAATGCTGCTAAAAGTGTCTTATTGTGCTTTTATTTGTTTGTTCTAGATAATTTGTGCAATGGAAAATACCACAAACATCTCCAAGATCTCTTTGCTCCACTTGTGGTTAGATATGTCGATCTCATGGAGTCCTCTATTGCCCAGTCAATTCACAGGGGCTTTGAGCGGGAATCATGGGAGCCAGTAAAGTAAGAAAATCTCCTTTGATACAATTGGAGTCTTTGGGTACAAGTACAATCATGCACAGATGAGTTAGGAGAATATTAGCTATACTGTTTCTCGGCTAAACTAAGTCAACTTTTAATAGACTCTATAGCCATATTGTTGGCTTTCATAAGGTTACCATCATAAGCCATTTGCTGATCTTAGGAGTTCGTTCATCTTCTACCCAGCTGATATAGAGGTACCTAGAACTCAATAGATGACATATTTTCCACTTGGTAGCATGATAGAAATGAACAAGTCACTCAAGTGTCTATGGAGATTCTCAATCATCCAGGTCATGGTTGTCCAAAAAGTGCTTTTCTAAAAGGCAACTGGTCTTTTGTACTCAAGAGCCAAGAAAGTCTAGTTGCCTTTTTAGGCACCTTTGGTACAAAGTCACTCAAGTATGAAAATTTTATCTCCAGAAGGATCATCTTGTTAGTTCCAAAGGTATTTCTTTTTATTCCTTTGCTTTTCAGCACAGATTTCAAAAATTGTATTACTCAGTCATCTAAGAGAGAGAGAGAGAGAGAGCCACTGGAAGCAAGTTCTGTACTACTGACAAATATTTTTGCTACTCTGGCCTTAGGCCCAACCCATATTACTGGAGAATAGCAAATTTCCTCTCTTTCCCATTTTTTTTAACCTTTTCTTTTTGGTTCATCCTGTTTCTCAATATTTCAGTTATCAAACTGGTTAGGAGCACAAAAAATACCTGCATGCAATTCTGCAGGATTTCGTCATCTACTTATTGGTATACATTTTCTTACAATAGTTTTCTGTCCTTTAAAGAGTGGGCATGAGTGCATATTTTCCACTAAACATGCATACATTGTTATGCCGTCTTTTAAAATGGCAAAATGTGAAAAATGCAGTTTTCAGCCTGCTGTTTTGGTTTATATTTGGATTCAGAAAGTGTTAATAGAATAAATTGTTACTCTTTGTAGGAATGCTAGATTTGTGTATCTCAACACTATGATCCCAAGATCCAAGACTTCATCCAATCCAAATCTGAAATTCAACAATTTTTCTCAAAAAGGGAATTAAAATCTTGTAGCTATTATTCAGTTGATTCTTTTGCCTGAATAGTAACTACTGGCTGATGTTGTTGCTAAATAATAATGATATCAACGAGATGTGACATCATAATTCTGCACCATTTCAGTGAATGGTGTTTCACAAGCTATTTTGCTTTTAGTATTCTTGGAATTTAATGATGACCTTCATTTCAGAAGGAAATTCTACAAAGTCTCCATAAGTAAACAAACAAACAAACAAACAAACAAACAACAAACCATTTGAACAGAGATTTAGAAATATTTTCTGAAAGAGAATATTTTGGGCTATTATTTTTCAGATCATGAAATAAAATCTCAGCAGTCACTTCCAGTGGTAACTCTATTTCAAAAAGATAGTATTGAGACCTGGAAAAGGGTGGAATTATTTTCCCTTCCTATCGTTCATCATTTTGCTGCCACTTTTCCACACTGTTTCTCTTCCAAGGGATCTAGATACATGCAAACAACAATTAGAAAGCTCTGAAGCTAAAAGTAGGGGAGGAAAAGATAAAATGGCACTTATTTGATACATCTAGTACTTAAAGCACTGGGATAGAAACCAGGAAACTGTGAGTTCTAGTCCTGCCTTAGGCATGAAAGCCAACTGGGTGACTTTGGCCCAGCCACTCTCTCTCTCAGAGCCAGGCTCAAGCAACAAGATGGCCACTCAATTCTTGTGGCAACCAATAGATTAACAATTGGTTGATCAGAAAAAAGCAGAACCTGCATTTGCGGGAAAAATGCTAGGAAAAAAAATTCTAAATGTTGTTATTTTGTTTTATATTATATTGTGGCTAAATGCAATACTAAATGTATATTTAATCAATTGTGTGTACACTTATTAATTTTAAATTAATTAAGAGTTTATGAATGTGGTGCAATGCTAGTTTATATAATGTGTATATTCCAAAGTAGTCCTACTGTCTTCATCGGCATCACTTTTTTTCTTCTTTAAAAGAACTCAGTCCAGTACTGATTTATGGCTTTTAAATAGCAATTTCTGCTTCTAAGCCAATCTAGGTGGCTTTTTGTAAATCTCATATGCTGAATGTATGTATAAACAACCATATTTTATCTGCATAGTAAGATTGGAAATTGAAGACTGAAGTTCACAAGTTCTTTCTGTATTTCAAGGAAGGACAATCAAGGCAGAATTGGCATTTAAGAACTCTATCCATCTCAGATAAGTTTCTAATATCTACCTACAGTATACCTTTTTGTCATCATACTACCCTATGACAATTTCACCAAAAGACCCTCAATTCTTACTCATTTTTGGAAAAGTTACTATTCAATACTGGCTTGAACCTATAAGTAGCATAAAAACTCACATACATTTGCTTGAGATCACAATATTCTTGGTGGCCTACCAGCAGTTCTTCAACCTCCAATAGTTGTGCCATTACAGCCTCTTCAATTTGTATAGTTTCATTTGACTGATGTAATACTCAAATATAGAATGCAATCATTTAAGCCTCAGGATGGCTGTGGTATCAGTAACAAGACTTTAAAGGAAACTGATCGTGAGGATTATATACTATCTTCACCCCTCCTGGCAGATACTTTGCAAACCCAGGTTCTGTTGCAAACCTCCTATGGAAGTTTGGATGGGAAACAAGAAATTGGCTAGATAAAATTTTAGTCTGATTCACCCATGCTTTCCTTCCTATTTTTTTATTAGGTCTGTGCAGCATATTGGATTCAAAGGGATGTTTCCAAAAGCATGAACTGGGTATGTCTAGTTTAATGAAAAGAAGGACTAGGGGAGACATGATAGCAGTGTTCCAATATCTCAGGAGCTGCCACAAAGAAGAGGGAGTCAAGCTATTCTACAAAGCACCTGAGGCCAGGACAAGAAGCAATGGGTGGAAACTAATCAAGGAGAGAAGCAACTTAGAACTAAGGAGACATTTCCTGACAGTTAGAACAATTAATCAGTGGAACAACTTGCCTCCAGAAGTTGTCAATGCTCCAACACTGGAAGTTTTTAAGAAGATGTTGGATAACCATTTGTCTGAAGTGGTGTAGGGTTTCCTGCCTAAGCAGGGGATTGGACTAGAAGACCTCCAAGGTCCCTTCCAGCTCTGTTATTCTAAACTAAATCATGATCTCAGACTGCTTTAAGGAATTGCCCACAGGAAAGGCACTATGCAAGAGCTAGTTTGGTTAGCTTAAGAGGTTGGACTAGGAGCAGGGAAACCTGAATTCCAGTCCTGTCTTAGGTATGGAAGCCAACTAGTTGAGTTTGGGTCCATTGTGCTCTCTCCCTGTACGAGGAGGAAAAAGGCAAGGGCAAACCACTTCTAAAATCTTGCCTAGAAAACGATATGGATTTCTCCTACAGTCACTCAAAGGCAAAACAATAAATAAATACCTCAAATATGCACCATAGCATTTTTCCCCCTTCACATTCACAGCACTGCACAGCCTTAGTTATTATCCTTCAACACAATAATACAGAGAGCAGTTTTGTCTCTGTTGCAGTTTTCACTGCTCTTCCCACTTATTATGCAGCCAGAAATCTCAGTATCCCACCGCAAGATACGCTAGGGCGCTATATACTGTTGGTGGAGCTTCCTGGATACCAAAATCTGTTGATTTATTGTTTCAGTAAGCCACGTATTTATTAACATGATCCCTGCACAGGGTAAAAACAAGGAAGACATCACCATTTTTATTTTTATTTCTGAGGTGGTGACTCTTTCAACGTTGTCTTTCTTCAACCACCTGGAGATAGCAGGCAGAAAATGGGAGCCACGTGTCTGACTGATCCTCCTGCTATCTCACTTTGAATCATTAAGTCAAGCCAAGTGGATGAAAATGCATTGTCTTGGGTACACAGGATGTTCTGTCACACCATAAAAACTTGAAAACAGGCCTTTCACAGTACCTGCCTTGAAAAATCAAGGTTGAAATAGAAGATCCTTTCCTTAACTACCAGATGGTTGTCTTCAAGAACATACTTATATATATATATAAAAAGATGTATTTTCTTATGCTGAGCGGCACCTAAGGAATAACGTGAGATGCGCAAGCAGATTAACACTGCAAGCCTTGAAGATTTTCACAAATGCTGAACAAATATGTTCTCCTTTTTGTTTTGTTTTATTTTTCACTCGCTCGGCAAGAGCTGTAAAACTCACCCAAATGAGTTAACTTGCTCTTTGAAAGGTTACACAGCTGGTAAGTGTGGGCAAAACTGTGCAGGGAAAATGAATCAAAGCAAGACAGCAGCCCTAACACAATTTTCCAAAAACACTGAATATGCAAGTTAAATCTGTTCCTAGGCTGATTGAATATACACAGGCGCATGAAAGGAGAGATCATGCCAGCATCGCCTTTGCATTCCGTGCTCCATCGATTCTACGCCATAGAGACCGCGACGCGCTAAAGAACGCCGGTGGCAGAATGCAGCTCATCTTGAGCGAGAGTGTCAAATCCACAGAAAATGTCACAAGACTGTAAAAACAGGGGCCCTCAAAAAGACGAGGAAGACAAGAGAGTTCAATTGCACTATTATCTGGTTTTGAATCCAGGTCCTGGATTCGGTCCCTGGCATCTCCAAGTAGAAACATTTCTGCTTCAAACCCACAGGATTTAGGGTTGAAATCAGCTTTGACAAGACATAACTAGATTGGGCGAACAGCCTGCAAGACACTTGCAGGCCAGAAACTGCCGAAGTTGCACTTGTCGAAATTTCTTGGCAACGTATCCGTTTTCAGTAGGCTGATGAGTAATTTTAAATAAAAATCCACATATCTAGTGGTTTGCAGGCATAGTTCTTTCTTTTTAAAACCATTTCAGCTGTAAAGTAATTATATTTTTTTCTGTTTTCAAAATACATAGGAATTAACCATTCCAAATAATTCCAAAGAGGTTAACTCTTCATGGGCAATGCCGTCTACGTTCCTTGGAGACCATTTAAA